CTATGTCAGTTAGAATAAAATCTACTACTTCTGAAAATGGCGAATTAGATTATAAAAAATTGTATGAAGAATCTCAAGCAGAAAATGAAAGACTCAAAGAAAAACTTAGGCGATCAGATGAACAATTAAAAGAAACTAGAAATTTATTGGATAAAGCACAAAGTGCTCAAAATAAAACAGTCCTATCTGAAGCTGAAAAAAGAGAAAGGAGAGCAATGGAAAGGAAACTCTCAGAAATGGAAGAAGAATTAAAGGTAAAAATTAAAGATTTTTATTTTATATTTTAGTGCTTTCTATCTTGTATATTATTAAAAAAAAAAATTATATATATAATTTTAATATATATATAATCAGATATTAAATACATATAAAATATATTATATATACATATATACATATATATACACAAATACTAATTATATATATATTTAAAAGAATTTCAACTTTTTAATTATTATATATGATTATATTTTTCTATAAATTTTTTATTAAATATTTCTTAGTTAGAATGCACGTCACAATTTTTAGATAATTACATTTTGATTGTTATAACCAAATACAGAGGAAGGTGCCAGCATTTCTGGAGTGGTTAATTTGAGAGAAATTCAGAAAGTACAAGCAGCTTTTAATGCATTGCTTTTTTCTTTATTTGGCATTTTTTGATGCTTTTATTTTTAGTACTTCTTATCAAATAATCACGCTTATTATTTATGCAATATATGATTGATTTTACTTGGCACTTTGTATTTTTTCCTTTTTTTATTTATATTATTTACATTATTTTGTGTGATTTACATTATGTATAAATTTGGCCAACAATTGAAAATGATATTATTACATTATTAATGATAAAATACATATAATAGTATTGTCTGATGGGACTTTTACAAAACAAGCGAATTCTGGGCTAATCGTTTCACTGTTTACAGCAATTACAAAAACTCAAAGCTGAAAATGAGAGATTGAAAGCCGAAAATCGGGCACTTACCCGCGTCGTATCCAAACTCACCAATACTACTAAATAGGTAAAGGACATAATGACAGCATCTGCGTTAACAGTGTACATCGTATTTCATATACAACATTAATTAATTAATTGATTACTTACGACTTTTACATTCTGATCCGCAATATTAAAATTTTGAAACGATGTCGCTCACTGACTTATCTTACAATACAGCTTCGCCAAATATATTACGCGTAATTGTGATTATTAAAATAGTTTCATTCTAGGATTTATAACAGCTTATGATACAAGAATTTAAAGCTTGTATAAATTTTTTACTAGATATTATTGCTACAATTATGTAAAATTACGTTTTTCTCTATTTTACTAATGACACTTACAATTTTATAATGTGCATCTCTTCGTTGATTTTTATATATATTTCATATTTCTAAATTCTTACAAAAATGTCGTTTAATAAAATTTATAAAAATTTCATTATTATTAGATTAATTATAAAAACGAATAATTACATTTTTCCAAAATTGAAAAACGCAGCCTGTCTTTTGTTTTTAAATTTTAAATTTTTATTAATAATTTAATTAAGTTTTAAATTTATTAAATTAAATTATTAAATTAAATTATTAAATTAAATTAAAGATTTTAATAAAAAATTTATTAATAAATCTATATTTTTTTTATAATATTATTTTATAATATTATTTTTTATAATATTATTATTTATACATAAAGTATTATAAAATATTAAAACTTTCATAAAGTATGAAATTTTCATAATAATAGAATGTAGAATGTATAATAGAATAATAGAATACATTTCAAAATTCTATTCTGATTTTTTTAAAAATGTTAAAAATATTTTTTACTTTATTATATTTTTATATAACTTTTAGTATTATTTGATCTGTGATATAATAGTTAAAAACAATATTTAAAAATTCATATAACTTTACACTTTTTTCTAAGAAAGCATGTTTAAAGTAAAATCATATTTTGTATTCTGCATTGTTTGATACTCACAAATTCAATGCCCAATTTATATCAAATATATTACTTTTTATTTATTTTATGATAATAATTTTATAATAATAGATTTCATAAAATGCATGAAAAACTTAAATAACTTAAACAACTAAAATAAAAAGAAATCAATAATTTATAATTATACTATATTATATATGTTATAAATATATAATTTATTAGAAATTCATAATAAAACATAACATAATAATGTTATTTAAAAATGTGAATCAAACATATAATAAAAAAAATTAATTTAAGCAATCAAAATAGAAGATATATATATAAAAGTACAAAATATTAGGATATATATTAGAAATTATTTTATACATACAATAATTATTTTTGATTCTATTTATGCATTTAATCTCAAAATATAATATTATTTTACATAAAAATAAAAATATATGAATAAATACCAAAAAGGATTTTAAAAGATTAATGGGATATATTTCAATATATTTTTAATTTATAATTATTCTATTTTTATTATATGTAAAAAATTTCTCTACAGCATTCAAATTATACCTGCTTGTTATATTCCATTTATATTATTCCTTTGATTTTAATATATCTAATTGTTATATTATTTTAAAAACTATCTAATTGTTAAATTATTTTATTTAATATTTGCTTGTTTTCCATTTTTTGTTTAAATTTTTTTTTTTCATTTTGTGCAATTATTTTACCCACTCTATAATGGCATTGCCTTTGTATTTCTTCTTTTAATTTTTATTTTTTTATTTTTTCTTTCTTTTTTAGTAAAAAAAACACGATTAAATGACACAAAATAGTTCTACATTCTTCTTTTTTAGGTGATGGACCAATTGAAATGTGAAAACCAGAGGCTAAAAGATGAAAATGGTGCCTTGATCAGAGTAATCAGCAAATTATCTAAATAATTTCAATTTTAAAAGAAGGCTGTATAGCGTTTCTTATGTTACAATTGCATTACAATTGCATTGAATGAATTGTTTTTTAGTTATAAAATATCATGATCATTATTGCTAGTATTCTTACAATGTATATTACATCATCACGTTATTGATGAATTTATTTTTAATGCTAGTAATTTAATTTATTATCAAACAAATTACTCGCGTGGCTGTGCCAAGAGCGAAGAGAGACATTGCTCCTATTCTTATTATTGTGAATAGTTGACTACGAAGGATTTAGAATTTTTACTTTCTCACTTAAACTCTTCCTGTCGAAGATAAATTTCATGGTTCATTTTAGAGCCAATGCTTTGTAAAACAAAATGTACTTTGTTCAAATTGATAAAAAACAAATGTTCTTTATGACAATTTTTTTTAAAGAATTCACATTATTAATGTTGACTCTTTATAAGAACATTTTGTAAATATGTAATAGGTAATAATAACGTGGCATTTTAGAATTAAATAAAAAAATTTTTTACTTTCAAAAAACATAAAAAATATCAAATTTATTGTATAAATTTGTTTCTATAATTGTAATGCAAACGAATTCGTTAGATATTACAAAATTAAATAGAACAATAAAAAAAAAAGTGAAGATAAGATAATGATTTTCATGCTATTCAAGTGGCCTTTCCTGAAAGACTGCAATTTATAATCCTTCCATCATTGCCATTTTTTATAAAAAATAGAAAATTCATTCTAAATAATGTATGTTTTAATATTATTTTATAATTCATTGTTAAGAAAATTCAGCTAAAAATTTGTTAATACATGAAGTGTTGAAGATAATATAGTTTTAATAACTGGTACCAAGAATCGAAACTGTATTATTAATTAATTAAATATAAATATATTCAATTAAAAGAAAATTTCTTCTTTTTAAATATAAATATTTATAACAAAATTTTAATTTTGATAAAATAATAAATTTATAGGTAATGAAGAAAGGACAAATAGTAATATATCAATGACATGTTTTAAAAATATTATTATAAAAAACTGTACAAAAATAAGTTGAAATAATTATTTTATAATAATGTTATTAAATTTTGCGTAATTATTTAGATACATTTATTACATATTATATAATTGCAATGTGTTTATTGTATTCGAAAAGTATTTGGATAAAATTAGCATCACAATATACAATGCTCATTAATGTATAAATATAAAAAAGATCCATTTATACAATATTTGTGATAAATAGTTAAAATTTTATGAAATATGTTTTTATGTTTGAAATATTTTAAATTCTGTATTTGTTGTAAATATAATGAA